TATTATCTCTATCAAACTGTCTACATGCTTCCTGATTCTTCCTTTAACTCGAATCTACTGTTGAGCCTTTCTAGTGAAATTTCCATATCAGTTATTGTACTTTTCAACTCCAGTATTTCCATTTGGTTCTTTCTTAATATCTATGCTTTATTGATATTCACTATTTGAAGAGACATTATCATCTTTCCTTCCTTTATGATTTTAAACTTGCTTTACTTTATATGTATTTGTACTAGCAGCTTTGAAGTCTTTATTTAGTTTGTCATCTGTCAAAGGCAGTTTCTGTTGCTGCTCATTTTCTGTGTATGGATTAAATTTTATGCTACTTTGCCTGTCTCATATTTTTTTGTTGTTGAAAATTGGCCTTTTAGATAACATATTGTAACAATCCCGGATACTTATACTTTTAACCCACAGGACCCGTTGTTTGCATGGTTATTTATTTAGTGACTTTTGGGAGAGTGTGTCAGTGAAATCTATTTACCCTAAAGTGTTCAGCTGTTGCCATCCTTGAGCGTGTGCACAATCACCCTGAGATGACAGTGGTTTTATTAGGCTCTCTTTGATTGTTTCTTTGATCTCTTTGGTAAGCTCTCTGCTTTCTTTTGTGTAACACTGCCAAAGAGGCAGGGAGGCCTCATCTTCTGACTTCCTCTAGCCCCACAAGAGAAAGACAAAATCACCGTTAGTAGCCCAAGGCCTATTCCTGTGAGGCCAGACATGCTGCCTCCCTCCAGCCCTTTCACCAAACCTGACACCTACCTCCAGCACTTTCACCAACCCCGATACCAACTGTTCCTCCTGCAGCACTCACCGCCTCTCTGCTGGGTTTAATAATTCACTGCAGTGGCCACAAAGAACTCATAGATTATGGAGTTTATTAGGGAAGCAACAGGCTACAATTGAAATTCAGAAACGCACTCAGTCTCTCGCAGCCGGCCATCTCTCAGCAGCGCATGTCTCTTGTGTCTCTCTCTCAGCAGTGTGTGTGTCTCTCTCTCTCAGCAGCATGTGTCTCTCTCAGCAAGTGCATGTCTCTCAGGAGCATGCTTCTCTCAACACATCTTTCTCAGCCAGCAGCCGGAGAGACTCCTGCTTCTAGGAGGGCTCCTTTTGAGCCTGGCAGAGTGGCCAAACTAACCAATGCAAACATCAGCATTCTAGACACCTGAGAGAGAGAGGATTTCCCAGAAGATTGCTTCATGCCACTCTCAACCAAAATACCCCAGTTGGATAACTTTAACAATCAGGAGCTACTCCGTCTGTAGCTCATGGCAAATTCCACCATGGAGTTTACAAAGACTTATGGCTAGAAAAGCCACACTATGCAATTTGCTATGCAAACACTCAGCTCTCAACCTCCACTAATTACCAGCTGATCTCTCTATTGTTTTTGACAATACATCAAAACAAAACCCGGACATCGATTGCTCCTCAGTCTGATCAGTTTCAATTTGGGCTTCTTTACAGAGATAATCTTTGGAGCCAGTGATTGAGGTTCATTCTGACTCCAGAACAGTTCTCCTTAGCTGTCTCTTTTCCTGATCTCTATGGTAAACTTCTAACCAGTCTATGAAGGCTAACTTTTTTGGGTTTTTTTTTGTTTTTCTTTTTCTTTTTCCTGCTGCTAGTGTCCTCTTGGAGCTCTGGTATCATAGTGCCTAAGGCACTTGACTGCTAACCATAGGCTGGCAGTTCAAACCCACCAGCCGCTCCTCGGAAGGAAAGTTGGGCAATCTACTTCTGTAGTGATACCACCTCAGAAACCCAAGGAGGGGTCGCTATGAGTCGGGGCTGACTGATGGCAAATAACAACAACAACAACAGCAGCCTCCTCTTAATTATTTACCAACACAATATCCATTGTGTTCAAGAGTGCCCTTAGGCTTGACATCCCCACACTCTATTCCAAATAAAGTCAAAGAAAGCCCCTAATGCTGGAAAACATTTTGCTCTCAGCCTTTGATCTGGAGCTGGAGGCAGGGACAAAGGCTCACTTCTCTCAGAAGTGAGTCATTTTCTTTCATATGTAGAGTGCTAAAGTATGGTTTGCATACACTGACCTTCTCAGCTTGCCTCTCCTGCTATGGAATCTCCACTCTACCAAACTCACTGGCATCAAGTCAGATCTGACTAATAGCGACCCCTCCTTGGGTTTCTGAAGCAGTATCACTATGAAGATAGCCCAACCTTCCTTCAGAGTTTGAACAGCCAGCCTTCTGGTTAGCAGTCACATGCCTTAGGCAGTATGCCACCGGAGCTCCCATAAGTAAATTGGAACTAGGGTAATCAGGGCTCCAGTATTCTTGACTTATTGCTTCTGGGCTTCTGCTTTATTACCTAGTGGTGGCTGGGTAAAGGAAGAGATCCTCCACAACCCTCAGCCTCTGCAGCACAGAGCTGGACCAAGGGAGTGAGAAATGTTGGTGCCCTACCCTCTTGGGGAGATATTGTAGCCCTCAACTAGGGCTGGGGGAGAGGGACCCTGTGTTCTTGGAGTGTAGTTTATATCATGCTGAATTGGGGTGGGGAAGTGGAGGGAGGGAATGAGTTGCGCATTAAATGACACAGAAATTCACTGTTGTTACTGA